GTGGAGAAGCAAGTGTAAATATTAGAGTTTCATATCACAATTATTTATAAGATTAAAATATTTTTACCTACATACTGATGTTCTGTTATTTCACGTGTACTAGTATTTCTAGTATAAAATCTGTAGTACAACAGCAGCGTTTTGCTTCTACTAAATACTGAGCAAAGGGTCTGAATACTTAGGACCATGTGATATTTCAGTTTTTCTTTTTTAATAAATCTGCAAAAATGTCAACAATTCTGTGTTTTTCTGTCAATATGGGGTGCTGTGTGTACATTAATGAGGAAAAAATTAACATAAATGATTTTAGCAAATGGCTGCAATATAACAAAGAGTGAAAAATTTAAGGGGGTCTGAATACTTTCCGTACCCACTGTATATGGGCACATTTAAGTACCTATGATTTTGAGACCCTTTTTTTAGCCTAAAAAGTAAGGGTTGCATTATGGATTTAACTCCAAACATGTGGAATTTGATGATGCAATTTTGTAAAGTATGTAACAATTTTATTTTTTGCTATGTTGTATAAAATAAAGATTACTCCTCTTAAAGCAGAGGATGCGCAAAAGAGCACATTGATTTATTGTCTCATTCTTGAACGTTTAAACAGGTCATCATTGTGTTGTTTATTGAAGCATATCAAAGAACATTTAACCCTCTGATATAACCAGAATAAGACCTGTAAGATCAGTTACCTTGTTTGTTGTAGTTTACTTTCCATAACTAAAAATACATATGCCAGCTATAGTGCATTAAAGGGCAAGTTATTTCAATGGGAATTTCAATTTAACTTGCCTTTGACTATTTAAAAAAAAAAGTATAATGCATTTTTACAATTACATTTTAAGCAACATACATAATACTTTTCTATTTATGCATATAATGCAATTTATGTAATAAATTGTGTAATATTTTCTGATTCAGGGGCGATCATAATTTGTTACTTTACAATTTATTAATCTTGGTTGATTAATCATTTTAAAAAGACAATGCTATTGGTTATCTACAAATAGGCATTTATCTTTAACAGCTAAAACCTGTTATCTACACAATTAGGTTTAGACAAGATGAGTGCAAGTGCACAGCTATTATAAGCATAAAGTCACTGATTCAATGCACATTATGATGTCTCAGTTCGTCTTGACCTCTCTTATCGTCCGTTCTTGAGTTTAGTCTGTCTCTATCTCTCTCTCCGTTTCTCCCACACACAGCTAAGAGCCAGTGACTGTGATGAACCCGTTAATGGTTACATTTATTAAAATCATACTAATTGTAATCATGCTTAATAATTAGCTTTACAGTGCATTATAATTGGGTTAGGCTACAAGATGGTTCTGCCTAGGTGCTATAATTTATTTGATTTAATTATTCAGAGGAGCCCAAATGGTTTGACATTTAATATCATAAACCCACCGACGTATTAAAATTGAGATGGCTATTGTCTTTTGAGAAGGTCATTTGCTTCTCTTCGTGAGATATATGGTGATTATTTTCCAGTCTATTAAGCGCCTCTACTTAGCACAATTAGCCGCATGCACAAAGGTTAAAGAGAGCGACTCTCCCCCTTCATTGTGGTCACAGCGCATATTAATGAGCAGATGCAGCGTGAGCATGGCAGAGGGGCCCGAGAAGGAGTTCAGAGGGAGTGAGACAAGGAGATACAGTTTCTCCTGCATCCTTAGCCTTGGATTACTCTGAAACATTAGCGTTGAGCATAAACACAGCTATACTCTTCATCTGTCTCGTCTCATCTAAACTTACGATGACCTTCTGCGGTCTCACTTTATGCTCTGCAGGAGTGCTTATATGCTACAACAGATCTTCTCAGAGAGAGGCCTCTGTGCTCTTTTCTCAAAGTGTAGCCAAGTATGGTGCTCTGCATTTAACCGATTCAAGCGCACACACACAGCAGTGAGTTGTAAACACACACACACACACACACACACTCGGAGCAGTGGGCAGCCATTTTTTGCTGCAGCCCCAAGGAGCAGTTGGGGATTCGGTGCCTTGCTCAAGGGTCTCACTTCAGTCGTGGTATTGAGTATTGATAAAGTGTGTGCATATTTTGCAAGTACAAAACCCAGAACAAAGCGAGAATGTAAGCCTTACTCTGGGGACAGAAATTCACTAACACAGTGTGTGCCACAAAATACAGAGAGATGCTTAAATGTTAGGCCATCAAACGCAGAGCAAATTCATCTGCTCTCAGTTCTGTTGTTTTGAACAACACCCTTGACCAAATATAAAGAGGCAGCAGCAAAGAGAAAAAAAATAAACAAATTTTCCGCACTGAGCTGCAACTTCAGCATAAAATAAAGTCTGTGATTATTTACTCACGCTCATGTTGTTCGAAACCCATATGCTGTTATTTTCGCAGAGAAACTCCAAATGAGATAATCTGAAGAATTTTTACACCGCTCTTTTCCTCACAACCTAAGGGAGATGTGTAAAGTTATTTTTACAGGACAGCCATTTTATGTACTGAGCTTTTAAAGAAAGAGTTAAGCAAACATAGGGTTGTTTACTCACGCTCAGGTCTTTCCAGCTTATGTGTTTTTATTTTAAACTCCAAGGGTGAAAAACTGTTGTTGTTTTTTTTTAAAACTACTATTTTCCTCACATTCACAGTGACGTCAATACTCGATTCGCGCCATCCAGCGGTGTGACATCATATCGTCCATGGCAACGCTTTATCAAAAATGAATCCATCTCTCATGAATGGCAGTTATTTACGCTCTTCGCATTTTTGTGTATACATTTTTATAATGTTATATTTCGCAACCGGCGCCATCTTGCGGTTCAGTTATCGATTGCAGTAAAAATGTACTATTTTTCTTAACAGAGTTTTGTAACATACAAATAAAATTACAAAATTCAATTCAAACTCGCATTTTTTAAGTAATCGTATAAAATAAACCACTAGTGAGCAGGATCTTGTATAATTATTTGGAATAAACTTAAGTTTGGAACAAACATTAAACGAACGATTCGTTTATATATATATATATATATAATCTTTAACTTGAATATTTATTTACTTTCCGCATTTTGACAGCAAACACATTTCATTGCTCTCTTTGTACACACCGGAGATATAACCTTACGGAACGGCTGATTTCAGATTGCCATCCCCGGGGTTTTTTTTTGTTTATGGCCCGACCCCCCATCGCTGGATTATTCATGCTGCTTAATGACGGCTATTAGGAGAAGACAGTCTCCAAAGGTTGGAGGGGAGCAACAATTAGCCCTCTTCCCCAGAGAGGCAAGTGGAGCGTGGCCTGGTGGGAGCTCCCAGTAATCACAGCTCTTTCTCTGCTGTCTGCCTGCTTGAGAGAGCCAGACTCAGCCCCACTCATGTGCCAAAGAGCCCTTTAATACACAGCAAAGTCTGTACACAATACATCTGGACAGCTGAACAGAGGAAGACCTGATGCTTTTTTGCAGTTGAGTCTATTCAACAAGTCAGTCCTGGAAGCCTAAATATGTAGCTGAGTGTCTAAGAAATGTCAACAGACTCTTACATTTAAAAAAATTTAATAAAATCTAAAATATGATAAAGATACATATTTAAGTAACATATATTTATGGTCCACATTGCAATTTTGTTGCAAATGCCATGTGTTACTCTGCATGCAGTGACCCATATTCATAAACTTAATGGACATCTGTGTTGATTCTATGGATTTAACTACCGTGGTAGCCCTGTCAACTACAAAACACATTACATCCACTACTGGATGCTGCCAGGGAACCACATGTACAAATGTTCAATTCACAGAAAGCTTAGGCTATATTTGCTAGTATTTCTGTGGAATAAACACACTCACTCATGATTCATTAAGGATGTCAGAATGGGGCTGTATGCAAACAGAACCGTCATTCAAGGTCATGACTAAATGATGCTATTCAAATCAAAAGAATCATTAGTATTTCTGGCATCTTTAACAGATGATGTTACACATTTACACTTCATGTGTTGATGCCTGTGAAATTAATCAGATTAATGCATTGGTGGGTTAAACAGATATATTCTACATTGTAAAACTGAAGGTAAAATAAACACAATTGTCACATTTACCACAAGAAGGCATAGTTTGGTAATGATGGAATGAGGTTTGGTTTGATGTGGATAGAAGCCTGTGATTGAGGGCGAGTAAAAACAGGCATGTACAGTACAAACATGTTTTCTCAACCAAACAACAAAGAATAGTTCTTTCCAGTCCTTTACCACATTGCAAAGACAAAATGTTCCACAATTAAGTTCATTCATATTGTATATAAAACTATTCCGATTTGACATTCAGACCAAAATAAAGGGGTTAGAGGTTATATGTTATAATATATACTACTGTTCAAAAGTTGGGGTCGTTTTTTTTTTGTGTGTGAAAGAAATCAATACTTCTGTTCAGCAAAGTCACATTAAATTGATCAAAAGTGACAGTAAAGACTTTTACATTGTTACAAAAAATATATATATATATATATTATATATATATAATATTATATATATCCTGAAAAAAAAATCACAACTTCTACAAAAATATTAAGCAGCAGAACTGTTTTCAACACTAATAAGAGTTAGAAATGTTTCTTGAACACCAAATCAGCTTAAAATATATTAGAATAGAAAACAGTTATTTTAAGTTGGTAAGCATAAGAGAATTCTTTCAAAAACATTTAAAATATTAACAACTGCAGATTTTTAGGTACATATATATATGAATGCATTAATGTTAATAAATGTAACTGTTACCAATAATAATTCTTTACACAGTCAAAACAGCATATCACTGTTGTTTCCTGTATGCCATAATTTAGTGGCATTAATTTCAGAATTCTCCAGATCATGGAATGCATGTAAATGCAGCTTTACAGATCCACACCCTCTATGATGGGAATCTGGGGCACATTGCCAATGGAAACTCTGACTCTAATTGGCTGAGGAGGTTCATTAAGCACTTTAACAGTAGCATGTTCTACACTGAAATAACAGGACCGCATAACGAGTGAGCAATTTTATTTTGATTTAATTACAGATAGTTACATTTAACTAATAAAATCATCTTGATGTACAGTATATACTGTATAAAAAAATCTTCCAACATAAAACACAACTAGTAAGCAGAACTCTGCTGCTTTAAAAAAATACACCATTCAGTATGTCCACTGGTGAAGTTTAAAACAAAATATAAAATGGCACACAAGCGAATGCCTTTGAAACTCCAGCATACCGGTGTTTATAAAATAAACATTACTTTGGTTTTCTGAGAGTCCAGTGAGAAAAAGAGAGCTACTATACAATAAAACCCATCCACCAAATGGGCCTTTTTTTTTTTTTTTTAAATGGCATCATCTTTCATTTCTTAAATAAGCAGTGTTGCGTTTCCGCACTAGCCAGCGAGCCTCACTCAGTCCAAGAAAGAATGCGTCATCCCTGTAATTCACCAGACCCAGAGTGGGTCTCCTGAAGTCAGCAGTCCTGCTGGAAGTGGTGAGAGCAAAGTGCATACGTAGGCAGCACTTAAGCTGGACTCTCCACTGGCATGTGACTGCATTCAGCTGCATACAGTCGACTTTAACGCTGACTGACGGATGATTGATTGATCCTAGCTCTCTCAGGACCAGCTGTACACCCTGCCCCAGGCATCACCGACCAGCAGTGTGCCATGTGTTCTGAAAGCACAAATTAAAATCACATCTTCAGAAGAAAAGACTAAAGACACTACTAATCATATTGAGCTTAAAGGGATAGTTCACCAAAAATGAAAATTCAGTTATTACTTACTTACTGTTGTTCTAATGCCGTATGCCCTTTTCTTTTTTTTTTTGGATGACAGGAGTAGTAATTAAAAAAAAAAAAGTCCTGCTCACGCTTCTCTGTATAATGGCATTGGATCACGACCAGCATCAATCTTTTTTTAAAAAGAAGCAAAAGTATCACATTCTTCATGTGTCAGGCTTTTTGTGGTTAAGTCAGAATAACTGTGGTGCTAGTAGAGTCTCATTAACACAGTCATGTACAGAAGACCAACGATTTTCATTAAATAAAAAATTACATTTCAGTTTTTTTTTTTTTCAAGTTTGATGCTGGTCACTATCCACTGCCATTATATGGATTAGCATGAGCAGGACTTTTTTTTTTTTTTAAATCTCCAAAAAGAAAGAAGGGAATATGGCATTAAAACAACAACAGGGTGAGTACATGATGACTTAATTATACTTTTTAGGTGAACTAACCCTTTAATCCTGTACTGAACCATTTAAAACATTAGAGGATCCATTTGAAACCAGGTTTCAGATCATATTTTGGTCTGAGAGACTGGCCTTTCTTCAATACCTTGATATGCCCAGAGCCGTAATCGCAGGGTTATTTTTGCAGCGTTGACGAGAGACGACCTGATTGCGGTTTAACTCTTGACAGAGCACCAGGTGTCTTTCCCACTTCCATGAGCTGCTGTCTAAGAAAAGCAAAAGCAAGAGTGAGATATAAGACAGAGATTATTTATGGTCAGCACGTTGCTAAATTGAGAGAAATACATCTAATATAAAGCCTTCACTGTTACAACGTGTTCCCCCAATTTAATTTAAACGTGTTGATACTTACACGCGCTGACGCTGTGCTGTAAGCAATGTGTACCAAATTGGATTTGGTTATTATTGCTTTCTAAATTGCATGCCTACATCAGCAAAATTGCTCATCAGTGTTTACAGGCTGTATGTTTAATAACTTTGCCCCATAATTCCTCGCAGCTAGCCCTAATGCGTCGCACAAAACGGTAGATCATTATGAACTTTTCTTTGGATCGCTCAAAAACGAACCTCTGGCTGAGCATCTGGACCATCACACTTAAGAACAGACAATCCGATTTATACCGCATTTTTGAAGGATGTCTAGTATTTGGTCTGGCTATTTAATTTCAAACATTACTTGTATATTAGAAAATAACGATTCTCGTGACATCACAAAGCACATTGTTTTCCAATATTCCAGGAGTGAGTTCCTGTTATTTCATGCTGGCCATTAAGGAAGCTCGTGGGTTATAACGGTCCTATGACCAGAGGCGAGAACAAAAGCACATATTCACGCTCTAGTTCAATTCTGCACTTAAGGTGAAGTGTATTAGTGTTACCTGCTTCCTCAGGAGCTGATGACAAAACATGCCCTTGAGACACCGAGCACTCCTCATGTCCAGGTAATTGTGCTCTAGTATATTCAGTCTTCCATATCTGCAACAGAACCACATGGTTAATGAAAAAAGAGGGGGAAAATATCGAATGCAATTGAAGCTATATTCATAAATCAAATCTGCCAGCCACTGATGTCGCAGGTCCAGGCTCCAATTGATGCCTAATTTAGGAAGCACTTTGATTTAATGACTGCTCTTACCTCATCTAAGGTGAGCACATGTAACTATTAATGCTTCTGTGGGACTTCTCAGCCAAGCCTGTGAGTCCCATTTCAATATCCCAGTTACCATATTTTAATATTTTGCAGCTATATTACCTGACTATTAAAGCAGGAAACACTACAGGAAAGATTTATTGCTTAAACACAAAGGTGTAGTCTTTGGAGAAGACTTCTCATTTAAACTCTCTCATTATAAAGTTCGCTACGTGAATGCTACGCCTCATCATCTTTTGGTCAGAGCCTTCGGGGGAGCAGCGAAAAAGCCCGTTCTGAAGATCTGGCCATACCCGGACGATGCCGTCAGCGCTGCCGGTGATGATCACGTTGCGGGGGTCCCACTCATACTTCTGTGTGAAACAGCAGCACAGAATGTTTCCTTCAGGCCGGCAGGAAGTGTTTAAAGAGGCCAGCAGCTGTCCCTTCATGGTCCACAGATTCAAATGGGTCCCTGCGCATGACACAATCTCACCCTGAGAGAGACAGAATGGCGATTAATGATGCACATAGCAGGCAAAAGACACTGTTTTTAATTGGGCTCAGTAATTTTTTTTAAGAATTCATTAAACTGATCAGAAGTGACAGTAAGGACTTTCACATTGTTTTTTTTTTTTACTTTTGATTCATCAGAGACCTCAAAAATGCATGATGATTTCTATAAAACTATTAAGCTGCACAACTGTTTTCAACTGCGATAATAGGAAATGTTTTTTGAGCACCAAATCAGCATATTAGAATGACTTCTGAAGAATCATGTGACACTAAAGACTTGATTAAGACTTAGATCTTACTGACCACAAACATTTGAATGGTAATTTATCTCTCTCAGAGTCCATAAGGTTTTTTTTTAAAGCTTTTTAACACTTTCAAACAAGCAAACATTCAAAGTTTGTCTTGACAAATGTAGTTTTCCTAGTTCTCCTAAAATGCAAAAAAAAAAAAATCATAAATGGATAAATGACTATAAATACTTTCAATTTGCTATAATACTAATTATTTGAAGGAGGTTTGGAATTATATCGCCATACTTTTCTCTCGTGTTTTTCGTAGCAGGTATGTTTCATGCTATGTAACAGAGGGTTTAAGCATTAAAGCAGGTCTGAAGGGAAGGATGTGCCCACCCTTCCTTCACACAGCTGGCTGAGGGGAGTTTCAGAAACCACTGTGGGTGCAAATGAGCCGGTGTAAATGTGTCATCCAGACAACAACATGAGCAGAACGGCCCTAACCAAATTAAATGTGCGGGAGTGAGATGGATGGATAGAGATTTGGGAACTGAAAAATGCAGGCTGACCTCAGAGCGTGTATGTTTTTTCTGGAGGGTACTCACGGTCAGGTCATTAATAGCCAGGGCAGACACGGCAGAGGAATGTTCTGGTAACTGTGTGATGTAGCTGAGGTCCTCCAGGTCCCACAGGATGCAGGTCTGGTCCAAAGATCCGCTAATAATCATGCTATGTGCTTCTGATGCTACCAGACACGTCACTGTGTCTGTGTGTCCATACAAGGTCTAGGATGGAAAATAAAAACATTTATTTATTTATTAAAAAATGAGACAAACCCACAGTTTTGAATCTTAAAATTTCAAAACGGCTTTGTGACACCTAAGCATGAACATGGCTCTTTAGGAATGATAACACATGTGAATCTGACCTGTCTGAGTCTCATGTGTTTAAGTTTGTCCTTGCTGATGGAGACATCCCACACACAGACTACAGTACTGGTCCCGGCCGTGATGATGGTGCTGTTGTTGGGACAGGCAGCACATACAGGATATCCCCAGTCCGACAGGCTCTCACACACTGCAAAGTTCTGAAACACAGGTAATAAAGCTATCAAACTTTAACAGCCAACCAGAAGTAACCTTGTTTAATAATAAACAATTCTTCTGTTCTTCACAATAGGAAAACATCAAATGAAAAATGAATCAATGAATGAACATTACAAGCAGGCCCATCATGTTAACTTATTTATGGATCTAGAGAAAAAATGAGACAAACCCACAGTTTTGAATCTTAAAATTTCAAAACGGCTTTGTGACACCTAAGCATGAACATGGCTCTTTAGGAATGATAACACATGTGAATCTGACCTGTCTGAGTCTCATGTGTTTAAGTTTGTCCTTGCTGATGGAGACATCCCACACACAGACTACAGTACTGGTCCCGGCCGTGATGATGGTGCTGTTGTTGGGACAGGCAGCACATACAGGATATCCCCAGTCCGACAGGCTCTCACACACTGCAAAGTTCTGAAACACAGGTAATAAAGCTATCAAACTTTAACAGCCAACCAGAAGTAACCTTGTTTAATAATAAACAATTATTCTGTTCTTCACAATAGGAAAACATCAAATGAAAAATGAATCAATGAATGAACATTACAAGCAGGCCCATCATGTTAACTTATTTATGGATCTACTATGAAAGCAAACCTTTTCAGCTGTGTAGCTCCCAAAAGAGCAGGTCTGGTCATAAGAGCCCCAGCTGAAATATGTGTTCCAATGTGGTGGGATGAGAAGTTTGTTTTTTTCCACGACCAATACATCTTTCTCTCTACACACTATTTGACCAACAGGACCCAGCGTGAGCTCTTTGTAGAGAAACAACAGAAAAGCAGGTTTATGCAGTGTGACATGCTCTCTCTCTCTCTCTCTCTCTCTCTCTCT